AAATGCAGAAAGCTTGTGCACCTCTGTTTACAGTTTCGCGATTCTCTCCGAGATTTGATGGCAGTACTTGGTACAACAAGACCTCATTATGTGCGCTGTATAAAACCAAATGATGCAAAAGAAAGGTGTTGTAGTTGTTTTGAACATACTCGCGTAGTCTCTACTATACCTCATAACCTTTAGATTTTGCTTTGAACCTAAACGAGCTATTCAGCAGCTTCGAGCTTGTGGTGTTCTGGAGACTGTACGTATATCAGCTGCTGGATTTCCAACGAGGTAAATTGAGAGAAAGAGTAGCGCCAATCTTAGTTCTTTTGTGACGTGTTGTATTCCCTTTTAAGAGTCATTTTTTGAATCGATGGGCTTTTTTTATACAGCTCAATTTATAGTTATGTTTCTGACTGCTCTGTGCTATTGTAAAACAATTGAGGTGGACATACGAGGAGTTCGGTCGAAGATACCGCGTACTTTATCCAGAAGGGAAAGCAATGTGGCGGGACAAGCCACGACAGTTTGCTGAGAAAGCATGTTACAAGTGTTTAGAGGTTCATAATAATTTTCCCCTCCATTAATTCATCCATTTCTTACATCCTGTTGCAGGAAGGCAAATTTGCATTGGGTAAAACAAAAATCTTCTTTCGAACCGGACAAGTCGCTCTCTTGGAGCGAGTTCGCCTTGAAACACTAAGCGCATCCGCTGTAATTATTCAGTCGCATTGGCGTGGATATGCCGCTAGGAAGAAGTATCAGACCATGATGAGGAGTTTACTCACCATACAGGTATTGACTTTTCTGGATAGGCATAGCAGATTTTGATAAACAATTCCCACCAGGTTTAAAGGTAATTTTCATCTTGATACTGAAATATAATAGCCTGACTACTTTTTGTAATACATCAAAGAATTTGCAAAAGACTAAATTACTTTTGCGTTAGGACTGCGCAAGGCTCAAAGCCTCCTACTAATACTTGAACATGGAAAAGCAATTTTAAAGGATCTTTCTTGAAGAAAGGTGAAGGGAGAATTGCATAGATAAAAGTTCTTTATGCGAAGCTTGCTTCTTCAAAGGTAAAGAACTA